TTCCACCATATATTAGTTTGGGCTATCCTCAAACTTCATATAAATGGAATCCTCTAGCATATATTTTAGGACCGCTCAGTATAGTGTCTGAACAATTTTTTTTCACGTTCAGTACTAATATTCCACTGTGAATATGCAATTTATTCATTCTCCTTGGCAGTGAATAACAATGAATGACAACTGGTTGTTTCCAGTTGTGGGCTATTATGAGTAAAACTTAATCTTGTGTAAGTCTTATGGACATTTTTCATTTCATTGGGGGAAATGACTAAGAATAGAATTGCCAGGTCACAGAGTAGATGTTTCCGAAGATTTCAGTGGTATTTTATCCTCCTGGTGGTATATATGTGCAAGTTCTGATTGTTTCCCCACTTTCATGGATGTTTTCAGCATTGTCACTTTTTAGTTTTCTCCATTCAATAGGTATGTGGTGGTGATGGCTCATTGTAGTTTTAATTTGCATTTACCTGGTAACTTCTGTAGGGAACTTTTTTCATGTGTATTGGTTATCTTCCTGTATGAAATGTCTTTTCAGTTTTTTAGGCTAACAGTTTTAAAGTATGTCAGTATATTTTTTTAAATTAAATATTTGGGAAATGTGAAAGCTGTAAGTCTGCTCTATAAATATTCAGTCTGTTTGCTATGCCTTGCATAGTAACTCTATTAGAAATTTCAATATAAATTCATCTTTGTTTTTTCTGCTTTATTTCAGTAGAAAAAACCGGAAGTGATGAACCAGCCTTCATGTATTATATGAATGATGGTGTTTATGGTTCTTTTGCAAGTAAACTGTCTGAGGACTTAAATACCATTCCAGAGGTTCACAAGGCAAGTTTTATTACAAATACCAGAGCTGCTTATTTGGCAGTTTATAAACTGAGCCCTCCCCCCCCCCCCTTTTTTTTTTTTTTAAAGATGCATCCCAAGTTTTGGAGATATACTTTAGGATGGGAAATGTTGCCCTTTTTTGAGGAGTTGCCCTCCTTAGATGGAGTTAAGAAGGAGCACCAGTGCCCCTGGCTCCAGGCCTGCCTTTCATAGGTGCATTGGGTCTGACTCAGTGAAAAATGCTCTCATCCTCCCTCGGATTCATTACCTGCATGAACACGAGTAAAAATTAATGAAGAAATAAAACCTTTTCCTACAGAAATACAAGGAAGATGAGCCTCTGTTTACAAGCAGCCTTTGGGGTCCATCCTGTGATGAGCTTGATCAAATTGTGGAAAACTGTCTTCTTCCTGAGCTGAATGTGGGAGATTGGCTTATCTTTGATAACATGGGAGCAGATTCTCTCCATGAACCATCTGCTTTTAATGATTTTCAGAGGCCAGCGATTTACTACATGATGTCATTCAATGATTGGTAAAGTATTGTTTTCATTTTAAAGCTGATTGGGTATTTGAGATGACATAAGATGTTTGCTAATAATTTTAATTCTGTAACAAATGCCTGACAAGCAATAAATAGCAAAGTGCCCCTCCCTCTGTTAAGGATTATTGGAAGACTAGTTATATTTATAGTCTTGTCCATTTGTTATGTGGTAGTGTGGTCTTTGTGCTTAAATTTAGAATTACACTTTTTTTTTTTTTTTTAATGTTAGGTATGAGATGCAGGATGCTGGAATTACTTCAGACACAATGATGAAGAACTTCTTCTTTGTGCCTTCTTGCATTCAGCTGAGCCAAGAAGATGGCTTTTCCTCTGAAGCTTAAACAGGCATCAATGCTTCTTTAGATCTGAAGTTGCAGGTTAAGCTTGTCTGGTCTACATTCCAGTGTGAAACAAATTCAAACAATCTTATTCTGTTAATTCTCTTGGAAACAAAATCTATTAGTAATAGCTGTTTGGGACCAGACAAAATCAGCTTTCATCTATAATTCATTGGGGGGTAATTGGGAGATTTAGATAATGTATCCAGATTTAAACTTAACCAGTTTGTCCTACCCCTTAAGCATTTAAAATAAAATATGCAACAAAATGGATGACTTAGTGGAGATGGAAGCCCATTAATTGGGTTCCCCATTAAATCGTTTACATACAAGTACACAGTTTTTATACTAAGGATTCATGTTAAAAAGTCTTGTAAAGTTAATGTCTTTCACCCAGATATATCAAATGTCAGTGGAAGACCAGTGTGACTTCATTAGATACGTTTAGTGTATTTAGAATGTGTAAATTTGTGCTTTGAACTGTAGTTTAATAAATGTAAAATTGCATCATAGTATTTGTTGTATTTGACCTAATGTAACCCTTGTATGATTGCAATAAAATTTTGTGTAGATTTTACTGTTTTTTCAGGCTAAAACTTTGGGAAAGGGGCTAGCTAGCAAAGGTAGTTTTGAAATAGATGTGTATATGGACTGTTTTGAAGGTTTTTTTTATTTTTTGTTTTTCCTTTATAGCCCATTTAAGTTTAGTTTGGCTCAGTACATTTTTTCAGTTATTTAATTAGTAATTTAAGTAAAATGTTTGGTAAATCATTGTGAAGTTCAGATTCATTATGGAGAGTCGATGTGCAGTAAGCATGATGTTTTAACAATTTTAACACCAAAAATGTTAATTCTGCATAAACCGATTGTAATAATTAATAGGTGTTTCTGTATAGATAGAATGCATAGAATACCTTAGTAAATCTTTGAATTACAAATCTTTCGGCTGAAATGGAAGATTCTATTAAATACTTTGAATAAACTTGGGGGGAGGGAAATAAAATTGCAGAAGAGTCTGCAGCGCACTAAAACTTAAAGAAGGGCTACATCTATATCCAGAAACCTGATGCTCTTTTGCACGGAACATTATTTAAATTCAGAGTTGTAAGGGGGTGGGGTGAAGCACACCTGTTCTCAGTTTCTCAATTGCAATGATTTCAAACTTTAGGAGTTTGCTTTGTTTTAGTTACTCTCCATTCCTTGTTATTTCCCATTCAGCTTAGTAATTTTAATTCTTTTCATACTAAAATCTTGTGACTGGGGGAAGGGAGTTAGCGTTACTAACCTGACAGTTGTTGCCAGGCGTTTACGTTGTTCACTGCTAGTATATTAGTAATCCTAGATCTCAGAATCACAATAGTAATAAAATATAAACAACAGGGGTCATTTTTTCCTAACTTACTCTATGTTCAGATGTGGAATTTCTGTCTCCCAAGAGGAAATGTGACTTCACTTTGGTGCCAATGGACAGAAAATTCTACCTGTGCTACATAGGAGAAGTTTGGAATGCACTTAATAGCTGGTTTTTACACCTTGATTTCAAGGTGGAAAGAAATTGATCATGAATCTCTAATAAATTTCAATCTAAACCAGTAGGTGCTTAATATTTTTTGATTTGATTGATGCCCATTTGAATTTCATGGGTTCTATTAATTAAATTTAAGACCCCAGTCCATTGTCATCTAATTACCCTTGGACTTTACCAAGGCATAATATGGGGTTTTATGCAAAGTTCCAAGCTACATGCAACTTTTTTTAACCGTAATAAAGAGGAGGAATTCTTCCCAGCCTTCTTTACATGTCGTGCTTTGTGGTCCAGAAATGACAGACCTTTTAGAAGATGGTACAACTTTGAGTTCTTGGCTTGAGTATACAGCTTTGAGTTTTCATGGCTTGTCAACTTTGCCATATTCATAGGAGAGCTGTTCTATGTATACAGCTCAGAGTAGCAAATATCACATGTGAATGAAATGGTAACCTTAAGAAATGTCTGTATTGTATTTGAAGACTGTTTGCCATAAAATCTGAGGTTTGAACTAATGTATTTCAATTTGGTATGCTAAAAAGTACTGAATTAATGTAACAATCTTTTTTTTTTAAACAATATTGTAATCTCAGTTCAGAATTTAACTGAAAACATAAAACCCAAATGATTTCTATATAGTAAATTGAACTGTAAAGGTAATTTGTGTGTGATTCTGAATACACAGATAAAATGTTTTTATTCCTCCTTATGTTTTACTTTGGCTTCTATTGTGAAAGAGTTAATTCTGCATTTCAACTCTGAATATTATGAACTTCCAGTTATTCTTTCAGAATCTTAATTATAAAGTAGCAAATCCGGTAACATGCTGGGCATTACACATGGAAGATTTTGGTAAAGTTCAATACATACGTGAGCACGAGTATGTTTCCAGGGCCACATTTTCTAGATTGATCCATTAATTCACCAGCCTTTTAATAATTTTAAACTGAAAACTAAATGAAATTGATTTATATGAATTAAAATAGATATTCCAAATAAATGTGGGCACTGATAACATTCACTGAAAATACTGTGCTTAAAAAGCCACTGTTGAATCTTTTTGTCCCTTTTTTCGGGACTTTGTGTTTTCTCACTGTTGATATTGGCAACTTGACCAGTTATATAGCAAGAATACTTGCTTAATTGACTAAAACAGAAGAGGAGAAAAATCTGTAGTCTTGCACATTCAAGTTGTGAATAAATCCTACAAATACTTCATAATTCCTGTCTTGTCCGTGCTGAAGGCACAAAAGAATGGTCTATTTGCAGATTGAGGCTTTCATAGTGAGAATAAACCTAGGCTAGGAATAAAAAAAAAAACAAAACAAAACCTTATTCTGGTCTTTTGATAGCAAAAGTACGAATTTCTGAAGCCTTTTTACTCTGCTGGGATTGCGATCAAATTTGTTAGGGATGGTTTGGATTAGATTTTTTCCCCTAGGTCTGTTGTTAATTCAGGATGGGGTTTCAAAAGTATAGAAATAGGAAAGCATTTTAAGTTTGAAGAAATTCTGGTAATGTATGATCATCAATTTGGGCAAATTAACTTGAAAAGTAGCAGTGCCTACTCTTTACTGAAGGACTTTGTTTTTCCTTTGCTTACTACAGATTGTGGGTGTTACATGTATCTTAATCACAGTTTTTTATCTTCACCCAGAATGCAGTGTAGATAGGGGAAGACAGAATTGCTACAGGCACTCTGTCCGGTGTTGCACAGTGGAAGGATTTATGTTTTATCTGTTGAAAATGGCAAACTCTTTTTTTTAATGGCAATGAGTAGAAGGTTTAATCTACCCAACACGCTCATTTTGTGTGTTGTCTTGGAGCAGGTAAGAACCATCTCTTAACTTCTGAATCCCTTGACCTATCTTTTAATTTTTTTTTTCAACGTTCATTTATTTTTGGGACAGGGAGAGACAGAGCATGAACGGGGGAGGGTCAGAGAGAGAGGGAGACACAGAATCGGAAACAGGCTCCAGGCTCTGAGCCGTCAGCCCAGAGCCCGACGCGGGGCTCGAACTCACGGACCACGAGATCGTGACCTGGCTGAAGTCGGACGCTCAACCGACTGCGCCACCCAGGCGCCCCTCCCTTGACCTATCTTGACTTTAATTTCAAATGCATATTCATTGGTAAATGGTCTTTCTAATCCTGATTGTACCATAACATTGCTTATGCCTGTTAAAACCTGTGCAGTTGATGGCCTAGTGAGAAGATTACTACTGTATTAACTATGGGAAGTTAAAAAGAATCTGCAGTTGACCGATGACCTGATTGTGCATTGGCGGTCCCCCCCCCCCCCGCCCGAAAGATTTTGTAAGAGTGAAAAAGAAAATCTTGTAGTAAACTAGTAGGATATTATTCAGATTCAATTTAGGGCCAGATAACTTAAAAGCTTTTCCTAAATAATGGTGCCAGACTGCCTGGTGTGTGCCTATATCTACAACTTTGACACCACCTCGATTTTTAGCAGTAGTATGCAGAAGACCTATGACTAAAGGTTAGGAATTTTAATTCTCTGGATTTTATTGATTTCCTCCCATCCACTTGGTGTCTCAAATTGCTTTCTAGGAGGTCTTCTCCGCTCCATATTCCAAGTCTATTTTTCACTTTGGCAACTTTTTAATTTCCAAGCTAAGGGTGCAGTATCTTTTATCCAGGAGACTGTCCCTGAATTCTTCATGACTTAAACCTACTCATATTTTCCTTTTAAGTAATCAACAGCAATGAAGCAAGAGCATTTTCCAAGTTCAGTTTCCTCTAATTCTACAAGGATGCAACACACTTAGGGTGCCTGGGTGGCTCAGTCAGTTGAGCTTCCGACTCTTGATTTTGGCTCAGGTCATGATCTCCGGATGGTGACATTGAGCCCCGTGCTGTGGTCTGTGCTGTGGACCCTGCTTGGATTTTCTCTCTCAAAAAAAGATGTAATACACTTCAAGAGTTTGCTGGGAGAGGGAGAACTTTAGTGGTTCCCAAAAGAAAAGCATTTAAAGTTTATGAATGTGTTATATCTCATGTTGCCCCAATAAGAACTGGGTTGAGAATTAGACTGAAGGGGGGGCATTAGGGTGTAGAGCTGGACATAAATTCATACTGAGGAGGAAAATATTCCCAAATAGCATGACACGATTGCCCCCTCCCTTTCAGGTACATTTTTGCTCTAACTTGACATTCTTACCTAAACATTTTTACACCGAGGGGCACCTGGGTTAAGTCGGTTAAGCGTCCCCCTTTGGCTCAGGTCTTGATCTCACCAGTCCAAAGTTGGTGCCCTGCGTTGGGCTTTGTGCTGACCGCTCAGTCTGGAGCCTGCTTTGGATTCTGTGTCTCCGTCTCTGTCAGCCCCTCCCCTGCTTGGGCTCTCTTTCTCTCAAAAAAAAAAAAAAAAAAAAAAAAAATGATTGCACTGAAATTGTGCCATGGGTCCTTGGGAAAAATGTGGGGTTCAGAGCACAACACTTTGTCCGTGCAATATTATCTTAACATTGATCCCTAATAAAACCAATCACCTTGGGACAAAGCGGTTTCAAAATACCTCCCAGGAGGGAGTAGGGTTGAAAAGTACCAATAATAAAGGATTAGGCTCAAGCCTTAGCTACCAGCAACCCTACTCTTCAGTGACGGCAGTTTTGCGGCAATCGAGAAGATTAAAAAGACAGACATTGGAGCTAAAAGCCTAGGCTTAAGCTGTGTAAGGACCAACATCTCACCAGCCTCGGGACACTATTGTATGACACAAATGAGAAGCTCCAAGTGTCCTAAGGGTTTCTCTCTAACTTACTTGATTTCGCATTTGAAGAAATCTGGGATACCCAGATAGGTTAAGGAATTAGCCTGAGATTTTTACGGCTAAAACATGTCAGAGCAGAGATTTGAGCCTAATACTTGATAAACCTGTGTCATTGTCTTCGATTGGGCTTCCCGGATGCACAGCCACATGCAGAATGTTGGTCGGAAGTGCTCTTGGGAGATGGGAGGCAGGGATGGACAGAGGAGGAAGTTGTCACAATGCAGTTCCAGAGGAGGCCTCAGCTGATGGTACAGGCAGTCCTGGAGCTAGGATGGCTCTTCAGAGTTAAAGCAAATTGAAAAGCGAGGGCTGGGACTTTGTATCACAGTATCAGCCAGTCACTGGCTGGCTACGGGCTGCACTTTGCAAGACGTAAGTTTGGGTGAGCAGTTCCCTGTGGCAAAGGACAATTCTCTGGACAATGTTGTGAGCCAATTCCAAGTGGAGAATGAAGCCATTAGCTGCGAGTCTTAAGCCGTTAGTTGTGAGTCTTAAGACGCACCTGATACTCCTGGTAGTGGGGGATGAGTCCCATCAGCCTTGCAGGAAACCTTGGAGGAGCACCACAGTATCCGGTCCTTAAAAGAAAAAGGCTAGATCGTGTTTAAGGTCAAAAGCAGTTTCTGCTAAGAAGGCTAGCAGCTGCTAGGCCTGCCGTAACAAAGTACCACAAATTGGGGGCCTTCAACAACAGAGATTCATTCATTGTCTCGGTCCTAGAGGCTAGCATTCCAAGGTCAGGGTAAGTGTTGGTTGCTTCGAGGGCTGTGAGGGAAGGATCTGTTCCCTCTTTCCTTGCCTTGTAGATGGCCATTTTCACGTACACCTAGCATTCTCCCTGTATGTGCGTCTGTGCCCAAATTTCCCCTTTTGTAAGGACACCAGTTACATTGGATCAGGGTCCACCCTAATGACCTCATGTTAACTTCAATTACATCTGCAATTACCCTATTTCCAAGTAAGGTCGTATTCTGAGGTACTGAGCATTAAGACTTCAACATGAATTTTAGGGGTACAAAATTAACAACAGCTATGCTGCCAATCCGAATGCAGCAACACCTTGACCCTGGGACCCTGGCCTGACTGCCTCAGTGTGCCTGCCTGTCCACTCCTTTCCTCTCAGCGGCTGCTCCTTTCTTCTGTCCCCTCCCTTTCCGTGGCCTGTTACGTTCTCCAGCTTTCCTTCTTTCTCTTGTCTATCTTCCTGTTTTCCTACAGAGATCTTTGTTTTTTCCCATTATGAAGTGATTTTGTTATAAAAATTCCAATAATACAGAAAGGTATAAAGAAGACCGTTTTTAAAAATCACCTGAAAACTCTTGACAAATGCTTTTAATGCCATGTGGCGCTGGCTTCCAGACACCTCCGTTTCCACCTCAACATTCCAGCCCTCTGTTTCCTCCTGGGAAAAGTATGGCTTCATTAACACTTGAGGGCCCAGCATTTTACTTCTGCCATTTCCAATCGTTTTTTCCCTCCAATAGTGCAGTGAACTGGCTTTGAGTGTTACAGGGGTCTGTGACTCCGGAGAAGAAAATCCAGAGAGATGCTCTGAAGTGAGACCACCCCTCAGGTAAGCCCTCGGGTACACCTGGAAATGGTGGGTTCGAATTGTACCAAAGGGGTGTGGCTACTTTGCAACTCTCCAGATGGTTCTCTAGGGGAAGGGGAAGCCCAGGGTGCAGACCTCCATGGCCTAGCCCAGAGGGCACCTGTAGCTGAGGGCGTGAGACTCGGTCCAAGAACTAGTTTCTTCAGTCTGAGTGGCCACTTTTCACTCCCAGCATTTTAACGTCTCCCTCCCCGTAAACCGGCCCCCAGACCAGCAGCTCAGAAGGCCCTCACCCATTTCCTTCTACCTCACTCACCATTCCCAGCTCCAGCCTGCTGACCACCTCCACGTACTGCGTGACCCAGAGGATACGCAGCACCAGACTGACCCAGACACCCAGGTGAGGGCAACAGGCACACCAGAAACCACGCCTGGTTCTAGAGACTTGCCAGTTTGACTCCCTCCTGTCTCTTCACTGGACTATTGCAATAGTTCCTACCTGGTCTCCTTGCCCCTAGAACTCCCCCTCAGCCCACCATCCTTAGGGCTGCAAAGTGGGCTTCTGTCACTGGTCCGATGGGATGACTGGGCCGCTTTACAATCTTGTGTTCGGGAAGATTCGGTTTGGGATCTGTGCTCTCCAGGCAGGCCTCAGTCGGCCTTAGGAACCATCTTGTTACCCATCCCATGAGATCCCTCATCACCTGTCAAATAGCTTGATTCCTGCAGGGCAAAGCTTGAGGGAGGGTCCAACTTCATCACTGATTCATTCACTCGGGTGATCATTTATTCTCCAAGTACCTTTTGATATTTAGAGGCCATTCTTAACACTCGGACAACAGTAAACAAAATAGCCCTAAATCACTGCCCACGTGGCACTTCCCTTCCAGGGAGCCAACTGACTTCTTTCAACTGACTTCTAGGTAATGTCTGACAGACAAACCAGCTTCTGCTGGATCTTTGGACCTGGCGGAGCAAGTGGTCTGACCCTGTAGGTGCCCCATATCTCTCGTCCAGGATGCCAGGCTGGGCAGGAGGAAACGACACTAATATCCACACAACCCCAATCACGTACCAAGCAAACTGCAGGTGACTCTGTATCGCAGCCCCCACCCCTCTCTGCTGGCAAGTTCCTCTTCCAGCCTGTGACCCGAAAACAGAGCCCCGCTTCCCCCCACTCTGGCTTTGGCTGATGTCTGACACAGAGCTCATAAAGCAGTGGAGCTTGAGCATGTGGATTTGGGGCATTGCATTCCAACTTTGTTTCTGCCACTTACTAGCTGTGTGCCCTTGGATGAGTTATGTAACCTCTCTGAGCCTCAGTTACCTCTTCCATAAAAAGGGCATATTAATTATTTAATGCTGCATAGAAAACTGCCCCCAAACTCTCTGAGGTTCATTTCCCCACCTACAAAAAATTGTAAGAATTCAACGAACTTTACATTTAGTGCTTAAAAAAGTGCCCAGTGTATAGTAAAGGTTCGAGATGTGGTAGCCATTACGTCTCCCTTGTTTCTGCTCACTGAATTTTAGCTTGATGTATCCTGGGGTTCTGAACCCTCTCATTCCTGATGACTCCTGGATAAGATGTTCAGGAAGGTGACGGGGAGTCTGTGCGAAATACGGATGACTCCAAGTTTTCCCAAAGATTTGAAAAAAATATTTTTCATGTAAGATAGAAACTACATAAGGAAAACGGCAATGAAGTGGGGGCGTTGCGGGGGGGGGGGACCTTAAAAATGAGATAAAACGGAGGTGGGGTTAATACAAAAGTGATCGTGATAAGGTCCTGATAAAGGTTGGCCCCGTTTTGGCTCGGAGATTCCTAGCAGCCATAGAGGAAAGTCACATCTAAGTCCA